CGGGGCCCCCCGTGAGTGCAGAGCCCAGGGGCCACTCCAGCTCTCCCTGACCTTTCCTTTCCTGGCCACAGAAGCACTCAGCGGCTACAGACATCACGTCGTCCCTGTCCGATGACCAGGTCCCGGAGGCCTTCCTGGTCATGCTGCTGATCCAGTTCAGCACCATGGTCATCGATCGTGCCCTCTACCTGCGCAAGACCGTGCTGGGCAAGCTGGCCTTCCAGGTCGTCCTGGTGCTGGCCATCCACCTCTGGATGTTCTTTATCCTGCCCGCCGTCACTGAGAGGTGAGTGTTGGGGGTCAGGCCAGCCTGCACAGACATGCTTTGTGGTGCCTGGAAGAGCTGCCGTTGGGTCCAGGGACCTTGGGGCTCCAGCGACTGGACTCAGGCGGGGCGCCCTGACCCGGGCTTCCTGTCCCTCCTAGGATGTTCAGCCAGAATACAGTGGCCCAGCTGTGGTACTTTGTGAAGTGCATCTACTTCGCCCTGTCCGCCTACCAGATCCGCTGCGGCTACCCCACCCGCATCCTCGGCAATTTCCTCACCAAGAAGTACAACCACCTCAACCTTTTCCTCTTCCAGGGGTGAGTATGAGTTGGCCGGGTGGGTGGAGGCTGCTCTCCCTCGGCCCCTCCTGATGGGTCCTCTGGTCTTGGGCAGGTTCCGGCTCGTGCCGTTCCTGGTGGAGCTGCGGGCGGTGATGGACTGGGTATGGACAGACACCACGCTGTCCCTGTCCAACTGGATGTGCGTGGAGGACATCTATGCCAACATCTTCATCATCAAGTGCAGCCGAGAGACTGAAAAGGTTCCTGGGCCCGAGGCGGGAGTGGAGAGGGGACGCTGGCTTCTCCCCAGTGGGGCAGATGAACACTGCAGGAACCAACCACACTGGCAGCCCACGGCAGCACGAGGCCAGAAAGCCACTGTGGGAGAGAGCATTTCTAGAACTCTTCCTGGCTGCCAAAGGGGCTTCTTAGCAAAGGGATAGCGAACTCAGCCTTATCAGGGGCAGGTGCTTGGCAGAGTGGCCCGTACAAATTGCCCAGTGGATGAGGCCTGGCCGTGATGTTAGCTGAATTTTTGTTCCTTCTCAGCAGTTTTATTGCGAGAAAATTCATATGCAGGATTCACCCGTTTAAAGTACACTGTTTGGCCCTGGCCGGTTTGACTCAGCGGTTAGAGCGTCGGCCTGCGGACCAGAGTCCCGGGTTCGGTTCCTGCTAAGGGCATGTACCTCGGTTGTGGTTTGTCCCATGCCCCAGTTGGGGTTGTGTGGGTGGCAACCACTCAATGTGTCTCTCTCATATTGATGTTTCTCTCTCTCTCTCTTCCTTCCTCTCTCCCTCCCGCTCTATCTGAAGATAAATGCAAAAATGTCCTCGGGTGAGGATAAAAAGTAAATAAATAAAATGCTGCTGTGGATATTCACATAAAAGATTGTGGATATGTGCCCTGGCCGGTTTGGCTCAGCGGTTAGAGCGTCAGCCTGCGGTCCACAGAGACCCGGGTTCAGTTCCCGCTAAGGGCATGTACCTTGGCTGCAGTTTGTCCCCGGCCCTGGTTGGGTCGTGTGGGTGGCGGCCACTCGATGTGTCCCTTTCACGTCGATGTTTCTCTCTCTTCTTCTCTCTCCTTCCCGTTCTATCGGAGTGAAAAATGGAAAAATGTCCTCGGGTGAAGATTAAAAAAAAAAAAAAAAGATCGTGGATATGCACGCTTCATTTCTTCTGCATAGACTCATAGGAGTGGGGCTGCTGGGTCCTGCGGGAGCTCTAGCTTCCACTCTTGAGGGGTTGTGTCTGTTTTCCACAGTGACTGCACTTCAGTCCCACCAGTTTCTTTTTTTTTATCCTCACCCGAGGACATTTTCCCATTTTTTTTTGTTCAGGTAGAGTGGGAGGGAGAGGGGAACAGAGAGAGAGAGAGAAACATCGACGTGAAAGGGACACATCGAGTGGCTGCCACCCGCACAACCAACCAGGGCCGGGGACAAACTGCAACCGAGGTACGCGCCCTTAGCGGGAACCGAACCCGGGTCTCTCAGGACCGCAGGCCGACGCTCTAACCGCTGAGCCAAACCGGCCAGGGCCAGTCCCACCAGTTTCTTCCACAGCCTTGCCAACACTGGTGGTGTCTTTTTTTAACCCATCCTTGTGGTTTTGCTTTGCATTTCCTTATTGGCTAGCGATGAGCACCTTTTCCTGTGGTTATTGGACATGCCTGTCTTCATGGAGAAATGTCTGTTCAGAGCCATTGCCCATTTTTTTCTTGAGTGAAGCAACTGTTGGGTAAACATCTACATCTTTGATTGAGTTGAGAGTTCCACAGTGTAGACACTAGACTCTGTCGGATATACGATTTGCAAGTACTTTCTCCCATTTTGTGGGCTGTCTTTTCATTCTTTTGATGGTGTCCTCTGAAGTACAAGAGTCTTTTATAATGTCTAGTTTAATTTTTTTTCTTTTGTTGCTCATGTTTTTGGCGTTAGATCTGAGGATCTTTTTGCCAGATGTAAGGTATGAAGATTTGCCCCTAAGCATTTTATTGGTTTAGGTCTTACAGTTAACTTTTGTACACAGTGTTAGATAAGGGGCCACCTTTACTCTTTTGCACGTGGATGTCCTGTCCCAGCACCACTTGTTGGAAGGCTGTCCTTTCCCCACTGAGTGGGTGGCACCTACGCCCACGCGTGATGTTTTGGGCTGTCTTCCTATGGACTCTCTGTCCTGTGCAGCACCGCCGTCTTGGCTGCATTGCTCTGCAGTCAGTCTGGATGTTGAATCAAGGCTTGCCTTCACGGGCCCACTGGGTGAGCCGAGGCCACGGCCTTGAGGACAACGTGGTGGGCTGTGGAGGACAGCTCCGGGACAGCAGGGGACGGGTCTGAGGCAGCGCTTGGCCTAGGCAGCAGGGATGGAGGCCGGCACAGGCAGGGCGGTGGGAGGGCAGAGCTGAGCCGTTGACCTGCACCCTGCCCCCCACCAGAAATACCCGCAGCCCAAGGGGCAGAAGAAGAAGAAGATTGTTAAGTATGGCATGGGCGGCCTTATAATCCTGTTCCTCGTGGCCATCATCTGGTTCCCACTGCTCTTCATGTCTCTGGTGCGCTCCGTTGTTGGCGTTGTCAACCAGCCCATCGACGTCACCGTCACCCTCAAGTTGGGTGGCTATGAGGTGAGCAGCCAGGGGACAGTGCAGCCCGCACACTGAGGGGCTCTGGCCAGGCAGCCCCCATTCCCGTCCCTCCACTTGCTTGTCCTCATGGACTCTGCAGAGCTCGGCCTGGGAGCTGGGGGGTCAGGGAGGCTCCCCCAGCACCATGTCACCCTGTTTCCACCCCCAGCCCCTGTTCACGATGAGTGCCCAGCAGCCGTCCATTGTGCCCTTCACACAGCAGGACTATGAAGAGCTGTCCAGGCAGTTTGACCCCTACCCGGTGAGCAGTCCCCACACTGAATCTGCCTGGCAGGGGAAGGGACGGCTTGAGGGGAGGGGTGGCCTGGCCTCACCCTGCTGAGGTGCTGCCCTGTGCCCAGCTGGCCATGCAGTTCATCAGTCAGTACAGCCCTGAGGACATCGTCACAGCGCAGATCGAGGGCAGCTCCGGGGCGCTGTGGCGCATCAGCCCGCCAAGCCGGGATCAGATGAAGCGAGAGCTGTACAATGGCACTGCTGACATCACCCTGCGCTTCACCTGGAACTTCCAGAGGTATGTTCTAGGCTGGGGTGGGGCCTTGGTGGGGTGCGCCCCTCGGGGGGTCACGCTGCACCCTTGCCTGCAGGGACCTGGCCAAGGGAGGCACTGTAGAGTACACCAACGAGAAGCACACCCTGGACCTGGCCCCCAATAGTACTGAGCGGCGGCAGCTGGCCAGCTTGCTGGAGGGCACCTCTGACCAGTCAGTGTAAGTGGGGCCCAGGGGGTCTGGGGGCACCAGGAAGGCTGGGCCAGACCTGACCCACTGGACTCCTCCCCACAGGGTCATCCCTAACCTCTTCCCCAAGTACATCCGTGCCCCCAATGGGCCTGAAGCTAACCCTGTGAAGCAGCTGCAGCCCAGTGAGTGTATCGGGGGGAGGGTGGGGCTGGGCCACGGCCTCTGCCCTGGAAGAGGGTGGTGGCCCTCACTGTCTCACCGCTCTGATCCAGATGAGGAGGCCGACTACCTCGGCGTGCGCATCCAGCTGCGGAGGGAGCGTGTGGGCTCGGGGGCTGCTGGCTTCCTTGAATGGTGGGTCATTGAGCTACAGAACTGCCAGTCTGAGTGCAACCTGCTGCCCATGGTCATCTTCAACGACAAAGTCAGCCCACCCAGCCTAGGCTTCCTAGCTGGCTACGGGTGAGTGTGCAGGGACCTGGGGGCTGGGGTGTGGTTGTGGGCTGTGCCCCCAGGACTCACCCGCCCCTGTCTGGCAGGATCATGGGGCTCTACGTGTCCATTGTGCTGGTCGTCGGTAAGTTCGTGCGTGGCTTCTTCAGCGAGATCTCACACTCCATCATGTTTGAGGAGCTGCCGTGCGTAGACCGGATCCTCAAGCTCTGCCAGGACATCTTCCTGGTGCGGGAGACGCAGGAGCTGGAGCTGGAAGAGGAGCTGTATGCCAAGCTCATCTTCCTGTACCGCTCACCAGAGACCATGATCAAGTGGACCCGTGAGAAGGAGTAGGAGCCGGGCTCCTCGTGCACCGTGAATGAAGGAGCCGGCCTGGCAGGAAGGGGGCCGTGCCCCTCAGGCCACAGGAGCAGATCTCCCAGTCCAAGGCTACCAGCTGTGACAAGTCCTCCTGGCCCACTGAGCCCTGATGCTGCTGTCAGAAGGAAGCTGTGGCCCGTCTGCGGCCCAGCGCAGGACTGCTGTCCCTTTCTGTCGTCCCTGCTAAGCCCAGTGCCAGACACACTGGGCCAGGGGGCCCAGCCCTCCTTTCCCCACTCGTACTGTAGAGTTTTTTAATTAAAAACATTTTTATTTATACAAACAGATAATAACAGGCCGCCTGTCCGTCTTTGCCATCCTGCTCCAGCATGACAGAGGTCTTGGCGGGTGGTCCCAGGTGTCCATCTAGGCTCAGCTCTCACCAGTCTGCGCCTCATCATCACTGTCCTCAACCAGATACTCCTGCATCTCCTGCAAGACCCAGGCCCTGGGAAAGCCACACAGTGGGAACCCGCCCAAAGCTGCCACGCCCAGGTGCACCCTCCCAGGGCATCCAGCGCAGAAGGTACCAGTACCTCTGGCTGCGGAGCTGGGCTTCGGTCAGGATGTATGGTGGCAGGGGGTCCAGGGAAGGCTGTAACAGAGAGCCAGCATGGGCGACGGGCTGCATGGCACAAAGCTAAGCCAGTGCCAGCCTGCTCCCCACCCCCAAGAGCGGGAAGGCTTCCCTGTCACCAACACAATGCGGGCATCCACTCACCAAGTCCTTCATGTTCACACGGCACCCGTAGCACAGCTGCTCGATAACACGGGCTCGGGGGTCCCCCCTGTGAGAGCAGAGCTGCACCTGTGTGCCTTGTCTTGGCCCCTCAGCGCAGGGCCCAAGGGCTTGGTCCCAGGTGTACCACCACCCTCTGTGGAGCTGCAAGGGACCAGCCATGGGGTGGGCTGGGTCAGGGAAGGGACTCACCTCCCACAGGGCCCAGCCCCCCAGCAGCAGCCCTGGGCCCTGCCCACTGCTGCAGAGCAGCAGGGTGTTGTGGGCGCCTCAGCTGGTGGGGTGGGGGGCTGCGTCTGGGAGAGATGTGAGGTCTGGGCCCCAAAAGCCGTGGCACTATCTGCAAGCAGAGATGAGCTGAGGGGACCTCAGGACTGCTAACCCCACAACACTCACCACACCCCTCCCTCTCCACCCAAGCACCCAAGGAGATGCAGCACAGACCGGCAGTGTCTATGTCCAGGGTACATGTGCAGAGCAGGCAGCGGGTGCCCGGGGGGCCATCAGCACTGCCGTCCCGGGGGGCCTTGACCAGCTTCTCACTGGTCCTGGAATCGTGAGGACAGGGCACAGAGGCACCCCAGTTAGCCAGGGTCTTGCCCCTGCCCTCAGCCCCAGGGTGGAGAGTTCAGTGCCCACCCCCCCCCCACCCCGTTCTCCAAGCACAAACACATACCTGTACACAGTGCTGATCACGGAGGGGAACTGGGCCTGCAGCCTGAGCATGAAGGCTTCCATGAGCCGGTGGATGCTGGCCTTTTCGGGGGCCTAGGGACAATCAGATGGGGGCTGCAGGAGTGGCCCTGGCACAGAGAAGCAGCCACCTGGCCGAGGGGCCACCTAGCATAGGGGCTAATGCTTTCTCCAAAACGTCAGCTCCCAAGAGTCTGCCATGTTGGGGCTGGAGCTAACCAGGGCGTACACTTCTACCGTGTCATTTTTTTTTTTTTTTTTTGGTACATGCCCCTAGCAGGAACCGAACCCAGGACTCTCTGGTCTGTAGGCTGATGCTCCAACCACTAAGCCAAACTGGCCAGGGCCCGTGTCCTTGTTGCTAAACATGGCCATTATTAAAAATTAATTTACGTAGCCCTGGCCGGTCTGGCTCAGCAGTTAGAGCGTTGGCCCACGGACCAGAGGGGTCATGGGTTCAATTCCGGGTCAAGGTTATGTACCTGGGTTGCAGGTTCAATTTCTGGCCCTGGTTGGGATCATGCAGGAGGCAACCAATTGATGTGTCTCTCTCATATCAATGTTTCTCTTTCTCTCTCCCTCCTTCCCAAACTCTCTGTCTAAAAATCAATGGAAAAATATCCTTGGGTAAGGATTAACAAAAGAAACATAATTAAGTTATGTAAAAAAATTCAACTGTTTCTGACAAAGACCATCCTGCCCCTCCATCATCCCTTCCCCCATGTCCATGACCCCCTAGCTGGGAACCTCGCCCCTAGCTGGGACAGGGGTACCAGGGTGGCAACTTCCTCTCCTTGTGAGCAATCTCCGTCTCGAGGGCACCAGCCTGTCCTTCGACTCCAAGGAGGCTGGGGGACATCGGGACGCCACTATTGCACCAGGTGGCAAGCACCGAGGCCAGAGGGCTGGTGTGGACACAGCTTAGGCCACCGAAGACGTGCCAGCACCCTCTGCCCTGTCCCTGTGGGTTACCTTGGTGTCAATGGCCGGGGTAAAGACAGAAGGGACAGCAAACAAGCGGTTGTAGAAGGCGACCTCCTTCAGGGTGTGGTCTCGCATGGGCCGCACCACCACCACATCACCATGCCGCTCGTCAGAGAAGCCCTGAGGGGAGGTTCTCCACTGTACCCAGCTGATGGGCTCATAGCCCCGCCTTCCCTGCCAGCTGCGGTGGGGGTCCCAGGCTCCTCTCTCCATGAAGGAGACCCCAAGATTGGTTCACAAGACACTACTTTCAAGTGAAGAGGCCCAAAGGGTGAGAGTGGGAGGGGCCCCTGGGCGGCCTGCCCCGAGTACCGTGTCCCAGGCCAGGAAGGCCCCTCTCCCCAACGCCAGGTTAGTCATGAGCTTGATGGCCAGGCGGGTGCAGCTGTCCCCCATCATCACCTTGGAGTAGCCGTGGGTCCGGGCCACATGCAGGATCAAGTGGGTCCTGCAGAGCAGGGCAGGGGATCTCAGACACAGGTGGGGCAGGGCCAGAAACTGGGGGGCAGGGACTCACCGCAGGGTCTGCAGAAGCTCCTCCTTGGCTGTCAGTGTCTTCACTGAGTCAAACAGTCTAAACAGGGCCGCGGTCTGGGCAGCGGTGGGCGGCTGGGCCTCGGTCTGGGCAGCGGTGGGCGGCTGGGCCTCGGTCTGGGCAGCGGTGGGCGGCTGGGCCTCGGTCTGGGCAGCGGTGGGCGGCTGGGCCTCGGTCTGGGCAGCGGTGGGCGGCTGGGCCTCGGTCTGGGCAGCGGTGGGTGGCTGGGCCTCGGTCTGGGCAGCGGTGGGTAGCACAGCTGGGCTCTGGAGGTCCTGGGTGCCAGACTGGCTCAGCTGCTCCTCCCCCGGGGCTGGCGCATGCTGCTGCTGCAGGAAACTGTCCACAGCTGCCTTGTAGGCCCCCTTGGTCCCTGCGGGCTCCTGGGCGAAGCAGCGAAGCACAGATGGCGGCAGGCTGAACACCTTGTGGGGCAGGAGAGGGTGGAGGAAGTTGTGTGAAGCCCAGGTCCAGCTCTGTACCTACTGAGGAATGGCCCAGGCAAGAGGCCCGCAGCCTGGCCCCAACAAGTGGGCGTGCACCCCTTGTGGACACCTCAGCAGGCACCTCCAAGGGCCCTTCTCAGGGATGGGCCCACTCACCTCTTCTAAGGCAACAATATGCCAGGGGAAACCAACTGTCTGCAGGATCAGCTTCATCTCAGCCAGGGTTTTGGTTCTGTCCTCCAGGCTCTGTCCACAGGCCGCTCCCTCTGAAACAGGCAGGCAGGAAGGAGTCAGGCGTACAGGAGAAGAGCCCCAGGCAGGCAGGACAGGGCCCACACATCCCTCAAGAAACCCCTTGAGGCTGTGCTCTGCAGGGCAGTGGTTTCTGTAGAAACCGCAGATTGCAGACCTCCTCCTTGGAGGAGCACTTTCAGAGTGGGCGCTGGGTTCTCCGCAGTGGCTGAGGGGTAGGGAGGGGAGAGGTGGAGCAGGTTAGCACCCGGGCCCTTGGGCAGTGAACTCAACCATCTCACTCAGTGCCCTAGACCCCAGGGAGGAGGCCAGGCAGATGCTCCTGCCTGACTCTCTGAAGGTCTGACTTATGACAACAGCAGTATCGTCTGTTGTTGGACACGTGCACTGTCTCCAGAGAAACATCCCACTAGGGCCTGAGCACAATGCCGGCTGTTTCAGGGGTCCGCCCCAAGCAGCGGGGCCTGGGAGGGAGAAATGGCTACACGTACCATCAACGTAGACGATCCCTGGCACAAAACGCAGTCTTTTGGCAGAATCTCGACTCAGGCCCTGGATAGGGGAAGGGACTGGACCTCAGCCCCATGGCCAGAAACCACAAGACACTTTTCCCTACAGAGACCATGATCTGCCTGGACTGGGCACCCTCCAGGAAGGGGCAGTGACCCCCACCTGTAGTGGATGGGCTGCACAGGGAAGCTGTACAGTCCAACTCACTTCAAACTCACCCTGCCTGCACTCTCCCTTGTAAAACTCACCCCCCTAGTCTGGCCCTGCTCCAGGCAACACCCCAAGAAGTAACTGGGTCCACACCGCCATCTGTGCCCCTTACCCAAGCTCCTCTGGCTGCTCAGCAGGGAACAGGACAATAGGATAAAAGCAAGAAATTGCTGCCCTGGCCGTGCAACTCAGTGGTTAAGGGTGTCATACTACACACCAAAGGATCACGGGTTTGATTCTAGTCAAGGGCATGTACCTGGGTCACCCTGGCCCCAGTTAGGATGCATGCAGACGACAATCAATCAATATGTCTCTCTCACATCAATGTTTCTCTCTCTCTTCCCCCTCCCTCCCTTCCACTCTCTAAAAATCAATGGAGAAATGTCTTCAAATGAGGATTAACAACAAAAAAACAAGGAACTGCTGCTCGGATGGAAGAGCAGCATCAGGTGCTGGACAAACGCTTATCTCACATCACTCGGCCAGCTTAGGGGACATAAAATGAGAGCAGACACACCATGCCAGGGCCCTGGGCACCACCCGAGACCCTATACAAACGACCCCACAGCTGCAGCTTTGTCCCAGTCCCTTTAGTCTATACCCACAGGGACTGCAGGAGGTCCGTGTGTATCCCATCCCCTGGCCAAGGCCTCCAAGGTACCCCAGCACCACTGGGAGAAGTCATAAGTGCCCCCAACTCTGTGACCTGGGCAGGCTGACACAACCAGCGCACAGGCCCCATGCTCGCGCTCTCACCTGCACCGCTCACCCCACCCCCGACCTTTCCGCAAGCTGTCTTCTCCATCAACACTGCTTCACCTGGCAACATCCTTCACCCTGCCCCTCCTTCTCTTACACTTCTCAAGGAAGTTGCCAGGGCCAAACCACTTTTTATGTCCCAAGACACCTACTTCTACTTCAATGTCTTGTCCCAGACACACTCCCAGGACGACAGAAGGCCCATGGCCTCAAGGCCACCTTGAGATCCCCACGGTGCCCCCCCCAGATATCCTTTCCCAGTGATTACTTTTCTACAGGAGAGCGAATGGACAGAGTGCTAAACTGGGACACACTGGGTACTCCGGATGCAGCTCCTGGCTTGTGCAGCTCTTGTACACACATCTGAGAACCCTCCAGGGCTGCTCTCTCTAGTTTTAAGCAAGAGCCCTCCACTCTCAAGCTCAGTGGGTTGGTGGCCTGGACCCAGGAGAACAGTGTGGAGACGCACCTCAAGGACCTGCCAGACCATGGAACTGGATGAAGGCCCTCCAGACCATGCCAAGAGCACCTAGGAGAGAAGGGACATTGCTGGAGGGCACCACATCTCCAACAGGAGCATGCCCCCACCACCACCACTGTGGATGTCCCCAGACATGGGTCCATCCTCACAGCCCAGGTGTAGGATAGTGGGAGGAGCTGGTAGGATGCAGCTGGGACAGGCTGCCTGCAGGAAAGGTGGCAGGGGTGAAGAGCCAGGGCCCAGGTGGCCAAGCTGCCCAGTCAGGGACTTCATAGAGGAGTCACCCCCCCCCCCACTCTACCTTCTCTCCCGGGAAGATCAGCCGGTTCTTCCCAAGCACAGCTCTGAACTTGTGGACGTAGAATGCCTTGAAACAGTCCCTGCAACACAAACCACCACTGGCTGCAGCCACGTGGCCCAGGCTGCCCACCCTTAGTGCCGAGAGGGAAGCTGCTAATACTGGCCTCTACAGGGCAACAGCCTGATGTTTGCTCAGTTACCTTTTCCTTCTTGTACCAACTTCCATCTTTAAAAGCAGCACCTTGACGTGGAGGCTCTGCCCAGAGGCCAGCATGGAGGGCTCCTCACCAGGCATGGTTGCCCCAGGATGAGACTCACATCACATGGGAAACCCACCTGCATCACCCCCACAATCATTAGATTACGAATCTATGTCTGAGGGTCAGGAGCCCGGTGCCACCTGCACCCACAGGAACTCAGAAAGGCCCAGCTGGTGGAATAGATGGACACAGGTGCAGGACAAGGCCACCCCAACCCTTCCCTAAGCAGAGTTGATGACCCCTTCCAGGACCTCCACAGAGAAAAGCACCACCTCTTGGGGTGAAGGGGGAAGCACTAAGAAGGCTGCAGGGGCCCAGAGTCCTGAAGCTCCGTACAAGCCTTTCTCTAGTGCTCTGACCCCATCAAGACCAGAAAAGCCTTGGAAGCTTCTGCAAACGCAGAGTCCTGGGCTCTTCCCCAAACCCACAGATCAGAACTTCCAGGGCAGGTCCTAGGAATCTGTGTTCTTGATAAAACTTCCAGCTGATTCTTGGGCTCACGAGGTCAGAGGTTGTCAGAATTAGAATCTGCACATTAGAATCACTAGCTACATCACAGTATATTGGGATGAAGCCTAGGCATCTGCATTTTAATCCTCCCCTGGTAACACCAGCAGACGCCGGGTGGAGAAAAGCACCCTGAGCAGAGGTGGCAACACTGCCCCCAAGAGAGCTGCCCAACTGCTTCATTCTTCCTGCTCAGACATCCTTGTGTCCATAGCAATCCCCCAACACTGAACAGAAACTTCTTATAATGGGCCAACCAAACACCCCACAGATTCTTGAAGGACAGTAATTCAACTAGGTGTTTAACAGCAAAATGCTGGAGCTCTAGGGACCCCAAGTGACCAGCCATAAGAAGTGACTCCTCGGAAGGTTGGGGTGTGGTGAGGCTCCCCCAGCAGACACAATGCTCACTGTGGGTGAGACGATTGGGGGAAATCACCCTGTGGCTGCCCCACTCCATGTTTTCCCTGCACCACTTTCTCTGGGTCAGGCCAAGGTTTTCCATGCATATTGATCCTCACAATCATTGAGGAAACATGCTCAAAACCTAGATTGCCACCTTTTCCCAAAACCGAGCAAGCACAGGAGGGGGAGCTCTGGGCCCACAAGGAACCATGCAGGCCTTGCCTAGAGTTGCTGCAACCTCTCTGCTTATCAGCAATTTCTCCAAGCAGAATGGAGAAATCATCACTTTTGGATGCGCTGAAGTGATTAAAGCAGTGGCTTCTTTGCCTAAAATGTATTTCCTGGTGGGACACACCTCGTTCTACTAAGTACACACCAAGTCTACTAGGCTCCCAAAAGATGTTCAGGATAAGAAAGTTTCTGTAAAACAATTTACTCAGTCCCTTTAGTTTCTTTTTGGGAACATTTTAGAAAACAGAGTCCAAGACTCTTGGAGAACAATTTAAAGATGTGAGCTGGTCACTCATTCAACAAATGTTCACTTGCTATACAAAGCATGCAACATCACCAGGAATTAATAGGGATCAAATGGGAGACCGGCCTTGTCCCTGTAGAGCTATGAATCTAGTCAAAAGTGATCATACATAAAAGAGTTATGATTCAAAGGCGATGTGACAGGGGCACAGAAGACCTTCTGATAAAATAGAACATGCTGGCACCCACGCCCCTCTGAGAATAAGTCTCTGTTCCTGTCCAAAGGACCCCCAGGGACGGAGGAAGGCTGAGCCCACCTTCCACTCCTCTAGCCCTCACAAGTAAAACAGGCATCACACGGAGCACCTGTCAAGATCCCAGGATACTCCAAACTGCCCTTAGATGTGTTCTAGCTGCCCAGGAATGCTCATCCCGCCTATACCTCACTCACTCTTACCGCCAATTCTTCTCAGAAGCTCGATCATATACCTTCCTGCCACCTGATTCACAGTTGAATGGTGGGAGAATGATACTCACACAGGAAACCAATACTTCCCCCACCAACACCAGAGTCACCAGGAGTGACATCAGCAACAAAACAGGTGATTAAATGATTTTAAATGCAAGAAATAAAGCCACAGAAATGGAGGCAATCCTAGCTTCTGAGCAAGACCAATTGCCAGGGTCTCCTGTCATCCTCCAGGCCTCACCTGCAGAAGGCATCTCCTGCGCGGATCACCACCGTGGGCAGACCCTCCTTGCACTTCACACACTTCAGCTCACGGCTTTGGAGACATGGGGGAAGAGAGAACAAGAACACAGATTACCACCCCCCCTCCCAGCAGGCTTCAGAAAGACGGTGTCCTGTTTCTCACCCCAACCTGGTGTGGGAGAGAGATCATGTGGGAAGCTGTTCACACACAAACTAGGGCTTGTGTCTTATCTAAACTCCCAATTTGAAAAAAAAAGACGAGGACGCTGGAGGATTCCGGTCTGTTGAAGCCATTTCGGGGGGCACATAAAGGCCACCTCTCCATCTCTGCAGGGCCGGCCCGACAGAAGAGACAACTTGCTCTATGTGGCTCTGGACGGGAGGTAAGGAGTCAGTGGGTGACAGCGACAGGGAAACCGACTTTCTCTCCCAGTAAAGACAGCAGGGTCAGCGGCACAGCTGTCCCACTGACTGCCAGGACTTGACGTGCGAGCGAGCAGAGGGAGCCCCTCCCTGGGGTGTTCACCGGCTTGACAGGCACTCGCCGGGTGCTATGGAGCGAGGTCCAGCCCTCACCCGGGACCCCCGGGCTCCTGGGTTCGGCCTCGGCGGTCTCTCTGGGCTTTCTGGAGCGCGGCGCCCGGGGCCTCGGGGTAGGATTCGCCGCCGGCGGGGGGCGCCGCGTACTGGAGGGACGGGTGTGGCGCCCAGCTCTTACCCAGGCCGCGGCGGCAGCGGTGCCTCGGGTGCGGGGTCCCCATAGTCCTCTCCCACCTGGCACATGGCTATACCGGGTTAAGCGGCAGCCAGCGGCGCCTACGCCGGCGGCGGAGCGCGCTCTGATGACGTCACCGCAGCGCCGTCGCGGCCGTGACTCGCCGGCCGAGGGGGCGGGGCGCGCCTAAGACGTCAGCGCGACGCCGTCGCGGCCGTGACGCGCGGGCCGGGCCGGGCCGGGCCGGCCGGACAGCGGCGGCGGCGGAGGCAGCGGCGGGCCTGGCCCCGGGATGGCGATGTTCCGCAGCCTGGTGGCCTCGGCTCAGCAGCGGCAGCCACCGGGCGGGCCCGCGGGCGGCGACAGCGGCCTGGAGGCGCAGTACAGCTGCCCCATCTGCCTAGAGGTCTACCACCGGCCCGTGGCCATCGGCAGCTGTGGCCACACGTGAGTGCGTGGGCCTCGGGCGGCCGCGGGGCCAGACACCGTCGCGGGGAGGGGCCCGAGGCCCACGGTCGCCCGGCACAGCGGGGAGCCGGGTGCGCGGACTCAGGGGGCGGAGGAGCGGGGCTCCTTACGCAGCGCCGGCCCTGCCCCCCGGCGCGTTCATCCGCCTAGCGCAGGCTCCGCCAGCCCTGGGCACTCGACCCCGTCGGCACTCCGGGCGACCTGCAACCAAGCCCGGTCTCGTAATCCCCGGGGCTGCCGGCGGCCTCGGGGGGCCTCCCCGGGTACTCAGAGGGCAGCGGGCGCGACCTCTGTGCCAGTCGCCTTGAATTCGGTCCCGTGGAGACCGGAGTGGGCAGTTGTAAATAAATGTCTGTGGCTTTTGCTGTCAACTCTTTTTCAGACCTGCTGTCTGTTGTCTAGACTGCGGAGGAGTGAAGTTCCCTAAAGTTGGGAGACGGGCTTGTTTGGAGTCTGGTGCTGTTTTTTGTTTGTTTGTTTGTTTGTTTGTTTGTTTGTTTTGGTGGAGAACTTAGGTCGTATTGATTATCGAGCAGCCAAGCCAAGCAGGCTGACCCTCAGGGGACCAGTTGCTAAGCACCTTGCTAGGGTTTCCAGCTGCACCAGGGCCCTCAGCAGGTTCCTGCGGAGTGTTTCAGGAACAGAAACCTGAGGATGTGGCTCTTCTCCCAGCTGAGAGCTGCACTCAACTCTTTCTGCTTGCAGCTGCCAGCCTGGTTGGGAGGGAGCTGAGATCAGAGTGTCCACCCTGACTCTCCCAAGCGACTGAATAATAACGCTCTTGAGTGAAATCAGCAAGGTGGGAAGAGGGGTTAGAGGACAAGTCTGCAGATAGAGCTGCTGAGGAGGTGGGGCTTTCACTCCAAGTGGTTGGGCTGAGGTGCATCCAGGTTGGTAGGAGGCCCTAGAACATTTTGCATAGATAGCTGACTTGGGAGGCTCTTGATACAAAGTGGTAGCTGGAACTGCTGGGTGACTGTGTGACAGCTCATCACCCAGAGAGGTGGCAGGGATAGTGAGTGTGAGGATCCAGAAAGCCTTCACTTCCTTTGCCATTCCTCCATGTGAGGCAGCACAGGAGAGCACTGCAGACCTGTCTTGAAGGGCACTGCACCTCACTTTTTCATGCTGCTTGTGACGTCTTGACAGGGACAGCCTCTGAACAGGACTTATTTCTTGTAAGCACATACTAGTGGGTATTTTAAGGTGTGATATGCATCTTTCATTTCATCACTGAAAGGACTGTAAGGCTTCTAATTTTAGAAAGCCTTCCTTAGGCTTTGGGTGGTGTCGTCTTGGCACCGTCACTCACCCAGCCCTGGGCCACAGTGTTTCCACTGTATTTTTTCTGCACAATCTCTGTTTTTTCTTTTTTTCCCCAAGAATGTCTTTTCTTAAAATGTGGTTTCCAGAATACAGAACTACACAAGATTGTTGTGAAACATCTCTTATAAATGCCACTTCCCCATGCTTTTCTTGGAGTAATCTCACCTCTCTCCTGTTTCTAGGGCTGGTCTTGCAAGACCCTCTTCTACAGCTTCTGCCTTAAAAATACTTACTCCCTGGCTCTCCCTGGTGGTTTGTTTTCCTAACTATTCTGTCTCAACTTCTTTCTTTCCCTAAGTTTCTTGCCCAGTGTTGCAAAGGCATGTATGCAGAAGAACACAGAAGATTTAAAGGCTCCGCCTTTCCTTTTAAAAACCTTGCTGGTGGTTAGGTTATTTCCCTCCACAGCTACCTGACTAAGCAATTTCTTTCCAAAAAATAGATTTTCTGGTGGTAAGAGCGGCCCTGTATAGGACAGGTACCCCTGTTGCAGCACTCAGACAGGAGGAGTTATAGGGCTTTCGAGCAGGAGCCCCTCAGCGGAGCTTGTAGAAGAGCTCCCAGGGCTCCCAAGGGGCCCCAGAGGAAGCCAGTTTTCTCTCACACTCAAGGGACATCCTGGGTGGTGAGCCACATCCGGAAACAGAAGTTGCATGGCTGTTTCTAACCCTCTGATGGACTCTCCCCTGAGGGGATGTGTTTGGGGCAGGGCTCAGCCCAAGCTATGCTGGCCTCTACATCTTCTTTCATCCCCTCTAGTCAGTGCTGTCACATCTGTCCCTGCATCAAAAACCCGACATACAGTTTGTTACTGAACAGAGGTCGTAGAAAAATGTAAAGCTTACATTTAAGGGGAACTGTGGGGAATGATGATAACAGATGTTTGCTGAGTACTCCCTGCATGCCACAGCCCTGTGAGGGAGGTACTGCCAATACTCCTGTACAAGGAAAATGAGATGGAGAGGCTGAGTAAAGTCCTCAAGTCTCACAACAAAGCCAGGGTTTGCGCTCAGGCAGCCAGGCCCACCGTCTCTTAGCCACTCTCCCCCACCCCCGTCAGCACCCCTCCCCACACACACACCTTTTGCTTTTGTAGCAGTGACTGCGAACCACTGAGCCTTTACGGCCCTCTGCCCAGCTGTACCGGGCGATGAGCTGGCTTCTCTGGGTGGGGTCCCAGAGGCTCCAGGAGTTTGTGACACTGTTTGCTTGGCTCCCTGAGAGCACAGGCCTCAGACAGGCCCATGGAGGCCTGGGCCAATGGCGGCTCAGGGTCTGTGTGCGGGTGAGCCAAGTCAGGTGGTTCAGGACATGAGCCATTGAGTGACCATCCAGAAAAGGCTTCGGAAGTCAGCCTCCCCACTCAGGACAGCACCAGGTGGGGCCCAGCCTGCTTGCCTTCCTGCGTCTCTGAAACTTTGGCCTGTCCTGGTGGATCTGTGTGCGCAGGAGGCCAGGGTGGGAGTGAGACACCTGAGTGGTGCTGCTGTAGCCTGGAGTCCAACAGTCGTCGGGCTGTTGCAGCTGTGCCTGCAGGCCTGACATGGGAGAGCAGACCCCTCAGCTGCCTCATCAGCTGAGACGCTGCCCAGCACCAGTCCATTGGGCAGACCATGGCAGGAACCTCCTGTGGGAGAAGTGAGCACTGTTCAACTGCTGTGGCTCTCAGCACACCATGGTGATGTTGCTGGAAACCAGGCTGTGAGCTGAGCCACCATGTGGACACCTGGTTCTGCCTCTAGCTCCTCAGGGACTGTGACATGGAAACAGGCAGTGCTGCGGGGCTGGCAGGCGAGTCTGGGGGTCAGGCAGAGGTCCATGTTCATCTTCTCGAGACTCCCAAAGTTCCCCTGGCTTCTGCTGCTGGACAGTGGGCACCCTTCAGCCTGACCTCTGTGTCTCTCATCAGAGACCTGCTCCTCCGGAGGCCTGCACTGGACCCTGCATTCTGCTGATGTGATGGTTCATCCCCACATGTGGTCCTGTGTCCTTTCCTTTTGCATGTATTTTTAGTTTTATTGAGAGAGAATTCCCTTATTAAAGTGACAGTTCAGTGGTCCATAGTATATACACAGCATTGTGTAACCATTATCTCAAACAGTATTAGTATATTCTCATAACTCCAAAAAGAAACCTCGTCCCCACTGGGAGTCAAACTCTATGCCCCACAATTCTACAACCAGTAACCTGATTTCTGTCTCTGTGGATTTGCCTGTTCTAAACAGTTCACATAAATGAAATTATACTGTGTAGTCCTTTGTGATTTGCTTCTTTCACTGAGCATGATATTTTCAAGATTCCTCTAGTGGTCACATCTGTTGGTACACACGCCCTCTTGTGGCTAAGTGGTAGTCCACCTCAGAGATAGACTGTGATCCCCATGTTCAACACCTGTTGATGGCCACGGGGTTGTTTCCACTTGGCTGTTGTGACTGGTGCTGGGTGAGCCCTTGTGTGGGTTTTTCTTCGGCTTCCCCATTGTGACCATCTAGGCATCACTTTCCTCCAGAGGCTGGGTGAAGTAAGAGGCTTCCCCCGGCTGATAGGCTAACCGTATCCTGAGACTGGAATCCTCACTGGAGCACCAGGGATGGGTGCGTGGTATCAATTCCCGGTGAGCCCTCACAGGGTGCAGGACATGACAAATGGACGGACCTCCTCACTCTGCAGGACAAGGGTTGTTGGGAACGCTGCACTCTAGGCGTCAGGCATAGCTGAGCCTTCTCTCATGTGCAAACATTAATGTGAGAGGTGACCAGCCAGGTGGTGGCAGCACCAGAAGCCAGCATGTAGGAGGAGGGCCTCAGGTTGGGCAGCAGGAGGGATTTTGGATTCCCCTTGGCTGCCTTTTTCTGAGGAGGTGAAACTATGATGGCAAAGGGAGCTCTGACCCCTTAGCTTAGCTGAGTCCTCTGTACACTCAGGAACATTCTCATGTCCCTGTGTCCCATGCAGCTCCTGTCCCCACCGTGGCCCAGCCTGCTTGACATACATAGGTGGGAGTAGAGGGGTGTGCACCCTGGTTCCTTGCAGGTTTCTTGTGGTCTGCAGTTACCACTGTTCTTATGCGCCTGGGCCCAACCCCCATGATGGGACTGACCACATGTTCTTCTGGGGCTGTGGCGGCTCCATTTCATTATCTCCAGTTCCAGATCCTGTGTCGCAGCTAAGCGGTCCCCACAGCACTTCCTGTCTAGCTGGACCGAGGTAGTTCTGCGATCAAGCTCTTTGTCCCTTTCATCCCCTCTGACCAGCTTTGCTCCCAAATGAGAAGCACACTCCTCTGCAGCATGAGGGAGGAGGGGCGGTTGTAAATTTGCGGTTGAGGGGTGCATGGGCAGGAGGGTTCACTGCAAATGAAGCCTACACAAGATGGGACATCTCCAGGGACAGTGCCAAGAGCTCAGGGCTGCAAGGAGCCTCAGGAGCACCACTGCTGGATAGTCAGGAGCCCACGCTCAGTCCCTCCTGTCACTGTGCCTCTACTCAGGCCTATCAGAAGAGCCCTTCCTGCCTGGGGAGGTGGCACTGTTCTAAGGCTGGTGATGCTCACCTGCTAACTTTGGCCCTGCCCCCTCCAATGAATCCTGGGCTCCTGGGGCCCTGCAGTTTCTTCGCCCACTGTTAGTGATTTTACTCCCCAGAGTTTAGTGGGTGGAGGGTCTCCAGTGTCTCCTGTACTGTCCCCATGTTTTCTGAGCCCCCTGAGGTGTCGTCATCTTGTGGCGATGAGACTGGCAGGTTAAGCCCAGGCCTCTACTACAGCCAGAGCTCTCGCTGGGACCAGGGCCGTGGGGTCAGCACAGGTCCTGGAGAGCCACCGCTGCAGCTCTGCCCAGTTCCTGGATACAGCAGAGGGTTCCAAGAGCCCATGGCTGGGAGGGCACCTGGGTTCATCTTTTAGCCAAATGATACCCATCCAATCAGTGGACTCGAGCTCAGAAGTGACTGTCTCCAGTTGACAACAGAGGTGAGTTGCCCTGCATGTGCTGGAGCAGGCCGGCCCGTGACCTCAGGCCCATGTCCCCTGCCTCCTGCAGGTTCTGTGGAGAGTGCCTCCAGCCATGTCTGCAAGTACCATCCCCCCTGTGCCCCCTGTGCCGCCTGCCCTTCGACCCCAAGAAGGTGGACAAGGCCGCCCAGGTGGAAAAGCAGCTCTCATCCTATAAGGCACCCTGCCGGGGCTGCAACAAAAAGGTACCCCACTGACGGGGTTCCCTGGGGCCAGGAGGGGGCTTTGATTGAGTGCTTGGGGCCCTGGTTCCGCCTCCAGCACAAGAACTGGGTTCTTTTCCTATTGACCCTGCAGCTCTGTTCGGCCCTTCCCCCATGGCACCAAGCACTTGCAGGTGGCCCTGCCTCTTGTCCCATGTTGTATCTCCCTCACTACACTGCCTGGCCTGGGCTCTGGGTCGCTTGTGTGCATTGTGGCTGATGCAGGGGCATGGGCTGAGCAGAAACCCACCCCAGACACATCCTTGACACTCCAGTGATCCGCAGCCCACTGCAGGCATTGATGTACGTATAGGGGAGGAGGGCAGTTGGGGGCCACAGGCTGAATGGAGTGCATTGCTCTGTGGCCTCTGTCACTCACCCCGGCCTGCCTTAGGCACCCAGAGCCCACCCTACTACCATCCTTACACTCACCACTCCCCCAGGGCTGGGAGGCCCTGCCTCCTGGTGGATGGAACTAGAACTGATTTTGAATTTACGTTTTCAGACTTGGCCATCTCTCTGGTTATCAAGTTCTACCAACTTAGCATGGAAAGCAGCCCCTGGTTGCTTTGCCCAAAAGGTCAAAGGTCTGAACTTTGGGGACTGACCTGAGGACCTCCAGGAGGGGCCGTTGGGGCTTCCTTTAAGCTCACATAGTCCCTTCCCTGCTTCTCCCCTGATAGTTCTGTAGTTTCACATACGAAGTGGCCCTGCCCTTCACTCCATGTCCCCCAAGCCTGGGCGGAGCTGGTATTGGAAGGCGATTCCCCTGTTACCCCGACACCTGGGTCAGGCTTGGCCCTGGGGACAGTGCCCTGCACTCATGAAGGCAGCTGTCTCTCAGGTGCCCCTCTCGCTGCTGCTTCAGAACTAGTCTCCTGTTGCTGCAATGTCTACCCCCCAGCCTGGGCATTGAGACATGGCAGGAGGTGGTGTCCACTCCCTGGGGAGGGTTGACCAAGGTTCCTCATCAGTGCTCCCCTTCCCCTCGCCCTGCTCTGAGCTGGGACCCCTTTCCCCACACCCAGAGTCTGAGTCAGGCGGCTAAGGAGCAAGTTGTGCTGGGTTTGGCTTGGTACCTTTTGGTAAGGAGTTTTGTCAGCTGTTTGCCTGTCTAAAAGAATTTGGTCCATTGGTTCCTGTTATGAGGGGCATTTTTCCTGAATGAAATATTTCCTATTCCCCCAGGGACTGTCTCTGCCCTTCTGTAGCTCCCCAGACACCCTAGCTGGGGCGTGCTCCCATCCAGGGGCCGAGGGCCGATGCCAGTCCCCTGCAAAGGCGCAGCTGAAGCAGTGAGCACCTGCTGCTGGTATAGCTCAGCACCTCGTCCCTGGGGTCTTAAGTCTGTCTCCTTCCCTTGGCATCTTTTCTCCAGCAGGGACACTGAGCCCCTGCAAGAGGCCCCAGAATCTGTTTATTGTGCTTCTGGGCTATGAACAGCAGGAGCAGAACCAGCCCTGCTTGCTGATTGTTCTCTGATCCGATGGAGCTGAGGCTTTGCTGGCCCTCCAGCGCCCTGACTGCTCAACCCCACCCTGCCTCTCTTCCCAGGTGACACTGGCCAAGATGAGGGTGCACGTTTCCTCCTGCATGAAGGTCCAGGAGCAGATGGCCAATTGTCCCAAGTTTGTCCCCGTGGTGCCCACATCCCAGCCCATTCCCAGGTAGGCCACCCCACCAGGGTGGCACTCAGAGTCCCTGTACTTTGTGGGGGCAGCTGTTGGTCCACATCACTAGGTGGGGGCAGCACTGCTCTGCCCAGAGGAAGTGGGAGGGTCTCCGCATCCTCTTTGAGGAGAGCCTCTCTACCCTGTAGGAAAGGGAACCCAGGAGGTTCCACACCAGGCTCACGCCTCACCTCCCAGCAGGGGAGTGCTGTCCCCAGAAAAGCCAGGTCTGGACAGATGCCTCCTCTCAGGGCAGGCGGCCTGTCCTCGCCCTGCTTGCTCAGCTGTTGGGAAGGAGAGGGACCGGGAGTTCCAAGGCGGCAAGCGGCTACAGAGCCATTGCAGTGGGGTGTGCAGGGGAGGGCAGGGCGCACCTGTGCTGGGGCAAGTGGGACGGGCTGCTGGAAGGTTGGCAGGGCCCAGCTGGGCCACTGCTCACCCCTCCCCTCCCTGCCCCAGTGCCATCCCCAACAGGTCCACCTTCATCTGCCCTTACTGTGGCGCCCGCAACCTGGACCAGCAGGAGCTGGTGAAGCACTGCGTGGACAACCACCGCAGCGATCCCAACCGTGTGGTGAGTGCCGCTGCCAGCCGGCCTGTGTGCCCTCCTGGGACCTCAGGGTGGGGGCCTGCTCCTCACTCTGGCTCAGCTTCACCCCGGTGCCCCCTGTTCCAGGTGTGCCCCATCTGCTCGGCGATGCCCTGGGGTGACCCCAGCTACAAGAGCGCCAACTTCTTGCAGCACCTGCTCCACCGGCACAAGTTCTCCTACGACACCTTTGTGGTGCGTGTCCTACCCCCCACCCCCAGCCCTTAACCAGACTCGGGCCCACAATTCAAAGGGAGCTGAACACACAAAGGCCTCCCCAGATTTCTGTGGGAGCCACCTACAGGTCTGGTGCTGATGGTGGTCAGGTCACGTGGCCGCTAGAGGGCCTCAGGAGCTCTGGATCTGCATTTTTAGAGGGCCCCTTGGTTCTTCAGGGTCCCTCACCATGAACTCTCCTCACACTGGGAGAGGTGGCCACAGCTACAGTAGCCGTTGCAGGGGGACTGTCTCCCTAGCCCTGCCAGGACAGAACCACATGGAGGGTGATGGGCTGTCCTCAGGTGCATGTTGGAGGAAAGCCAAAGGGACTTCATTCACCTCCTTGAAAACCTCCAGCTCGCTTTTCCTCTCCTATGTGCTCGGGTCAGAACCGTGCCTGCCCCAGGCCTGCAGACCGCCGCAGGCTCTTCCTCCAGCTCAGCCCCTGCCCGCCCAGCCCTGTCATCCTGTCCCTGTCTGCCTCCCTGGGTCCCGGTGGTTGGAGGCATGGAGATCTCTGGCTTCTCTGCTCATCTCAGAACCCTCGTTTCCACATTTGAAGCAAAAGGACAGCTCTTTCTCTGAGTGTCTGCCCCTCCCACAGGCCCACTGAGCAAGGTGTCTGCAGGACAAGGTGTCCGCTGCAGGACAAGGGCACAGACGAGAGGGCCCAGCTGTGCTAGTGACCTCAGGACCACTTCCTCTGTCCCCAAACAGACCAGTGGCACCACTTCCAGCCTCCCCCCTCCCTTCAGCACAACACACCAAGAAAAGACCCCGCACAGCCATGGGGTCACTGCTGCCATGAGCGAAAGCCCTGGTGGAGGTTCACGTGCTGCCCACATGTGGGATCGCTGTCTGGCATCTCCCGAGTTCTCCACCCTGATTGCACGGGGTGCAGCTCCACTTTCTGTCTTCCAGGACTACAGCATCGACGAGGAAGCCGCCTTCCAGGCCGCCCTGGCCCTGTCTCTCTCTGAGAACTGAAGGCGCAGCCCAGCCGCCAGGACTGAACCCTCCTGCCTCGAGGGCCAGGGCCATGCTTGCTCTCTGTGGCCCAGCGCCTGCACTTGAATGCGCCTTGCAGGCCAGGGGGGCCTCCATCATTTCAGAAGAAGAGGCGGTCCTCAAGATCGCCAGGGCCCGGGAGAGACCACTGTCCCCTCTCCATCAGAGAACGGCCGCCTGTGCTCCCGGCCAAGCATGGCTAGTTTCTTCGGTGCTTTGGGCCAAGCAGGCGGCCCTCTCAGGGCTGGCCCGTTGGGACTGGGAGCAGTCAGCTGTCTGTCTTTCTCAAAGCCATGATGTCCTCCCCATGCAGGGGGAGCCCCAGCGACACCCGGCCGGCCGCCGGCGTCGGGCAGTGCTTCCCCTGTGCACCTGGTACTGGCTTTGTGATACCTAGAAATTCTGGCATTTTTCTATATTATCCAGTGTGATAACCTTTTCACATTTTATAGAGCAAAGACAAAGCAGTTACTCTTCATATTGCAATATCTGTGTTTGACTAGGAACAATAGTATTTTTATGGAACATTTACAAAATTATATTTTTTAAAAAAAATCAAAAACAAACAGTTGTGGGGTCAGGCTGGGGAGAGGAGAGATGGGGCCAGAGCTGGAGCCAGAAGGAACCGTGGTTTCCCTGGTGTGCACGGGATGGAGGCGACCGTGTCCTGGGTCATCTCTGCTTTCCAGAGTTCCTGTGCTTGGGCTGTCATTCCCCTTGGATAGCGACCTGGAAGAAACCTCAATGCCTGGCCACTTGTAGTGGCTGTTGGGCTGGGGTCTTCTGGCGCCACCTCCTGCCCTGGGTCCTGGGCTCAGCCCCGCTGACACTTTTCCAAAGCTGACCACATCCTGCCTGAGGCAGAGCCGCCCCGGTGCTGGTAGAGCTGGGGGCGGCCATGCAGTGGTGGGCTGGGCCAGAAAATGCTTGTCAGTACTCGTTTGGTTCATGGCATAAATTATTGCTGTCTTTTAAAAAATTTTAAATAAAACGTTTCAAAGCATCTGTAGCAGCCTGGCGGGTTCCATTCTGTGACTGTGAAAAGCAGAGGGCTGGTGTGGAGTTGCCACACCTTCCTTTGCAAGTGTGTTTCCCCAGGCAGCTCCAGCTCAGTGCAGCTGGCTTCAGGGCCACCGTGAAGACGGCCAGGGGGAGTACCGTGGGCCAGCCATCCCACCCGCGACTCCCAGGCCCTGCCGGCCTTGGCCACCAGCAGTCACTGGGAAGACCAGGCTTCCCACTCCTGTGAGCACAGTGCTTGCCTAGCGTGCTAGAGGTTTCTCAACCTGTGTCCCTTATTTCTTTTCTTTTTTTTTTTTTTCTTTATTGATTTTAGAGAGAGAAGAAGGGAGAGGGAGAGAGAGAGAGAAGTGTTGATAAAAGAGAACATCAATTGGCTGCCTCCTGCATGCCCCTCATTGGGGATCAGGCCCACACTTGGGCATGTGTCTTGACCGGGAATCGAACCAGTGACCTCTTGGTGCATGGGTCGACACTCAACCACTGAGCCACACCAGCTGGACCTCACCTGAGGATATTTTTTCATTGATTTTTAGATAGAGTGGAAGGAAGGAACAGAGAGAGAGAAACATCGATGTGAGGGAGACACATTGATTGGTTGCTTCCCACAAGACCCCAGTGGGGGCCAGGGAGTGAACTTGCAACCCAGGTATGTGCCCCTTGACCAGGATTAGAACCCTTTGGCCCAAAGACTGATGCTATAACTGCTGGGCCAAACCGGCCAGGGCCAGAGCAAGTTTCTGAACTGCATTTGGTCCCTTGTGACAAACCCAGGCAATGGTTTGCTGGGTGTTGGTGGCTTTCACTCCCTTCTTGGTCCTAAGATGGCGTTCACTGAGGCCAGTGGGCTGGCTGGGCATCTCCCCAAGCTCCCTGGCCAGAGTTGGTCTGAATGGGGCCTGTTCTGGGGCCCCAGAGGTAGCCATGGTGGCCTTTGGGGTAGTTTTCAGAACACACAGGGCATGCAGAACACATGGGTCACACAGAACACACCGGGCACACAGAACACAGTACACACAGAACGCACGGGGCACACAGAACACATGGACACAACACAGAACAGGACGCACAGAACATATGAGGCACACAGAACACATGAGGCGCACAGGCCTGTGAGACACACAGGGTACATGGGCCACACCATTGCTCCAAAACAGTGTCCAGGACAGTCTGCCCAGGGGAGGGTGTTAGTGTGAACCCCATTGTGATCTGGGCACATGTGACCTGGATCAACAGACACACAGTGGGGGGCGGGGACACCTTGGGAGGAAGTGGAGCCAAATGTCCGAAATCCATGCAGTGGGGCTCCCCAATGAGAATGGGGGGCTCAGACCACAGCTGGGATGAAAGACACATACCCAAGCCACCCCTCGTGTCCTTCCCCAAGTCCCACCATGAATCCACAGGGCAGCCAGAGCCACCACACAGCACAGGCTCAGTCGGGGACCCCCAGCTTGAAGCTTGGGTTCCTGAAGCCAGGTCCTCTCCGCCTGACAATCCTGGCAGCTTTCCTCCCCAGCACACAGCTAGGCAGTCCTTCTGTCCAGGGCCCCTTGCCCTATGCCCTAGAGTGTCCCCGGGTGCAGGTGCCCACCCTTTCCTTTCATGGTGGCACCCCTGCCTGCACAGTGCTTCTTGGTTCCCTGGTGTCTGCAGCCTCCTCTGCTAGGACCGGGACAGGCAAGCAGCCGTCTAGAGGCGGGACCCCCAGAGCATGGAGCCCCTTGGCCCAGGGTGGTTCTCGTCACTATCCTGGGGCTCCTGAGACTGGCCACCAGCTCTGGGCACCGACAGGCAGCAGGGCGGACACACAGGGTGTGGCTGGGCAGCCTCCCGGTGGGCTTGGCTCAGCCTGGGGTGTGGGACTCCAGACCAGTCTTTTCAGGAAATACGAGTGTGTACAGGGCCTGGCATCAGAAAACACCATCAGGGGGTGCAGCGCACCTTCCGCACAGAGCTGTGTGCTCCCCCAGGCCCTTGGACGTGCTAGGTGATGCCTCAGAGACCATCTCGATTTAGGTTCATGAGCCTCAGGGCGGATAGGCTGAAGTCACCGCCCCTGTTTCCTGAATGAAGAGAGAGATTCCGAGAACCTGTCCATGAGACAAAGGGCCTGACCTGCCGCGGCCGTGACTCCGGCATGGACCCTTCCTGCTGGTGTCAAGTCCCGAGGCATCTGTGGGGGACAGGATGCCTCTGTCCCCAGGGTCTGCTGTGAGGGAGGGCACTTTGTCACGATGCAGCGGCATCCCGGGCTGACGGGGTCCCAGGTGCCCGCACACCAGCGGCCTCAGGAACGCACCGCTAGCGGCACTCTGTGGGTCAGAGGCGAGTAGGGGAGGCTGGCCTCCCAGCCAGAGCCTGGTGGGAACAAGGGGGGCTGAAACAGGTCAGCCCTCACAGCCACAGGTTCGGCCCGCTGCTGGGCCCCGCCTGGTGTGGGGTCCTCTCCAAGTGAGGAGCTAGAAGACTTGCAGGCCCTGCACCTCCCTCCCGAGTCTAGGCTGTCCAACCTCTGGAAACACTCAGAAGGCTCTGGCGGGCACAAGAACAGGCCACTGGGAAGTGCAAACGGTATTTTTCTAGAAACTCTGAGCACATTTGGTGTGTGGGTTTGTGGCGCTGTGGTTAGTTCTCCTTGATTGGCTGGGCCCTTGTAGCAAATCGGGGAGAGCGAGGCTGCTGTCTGGGTGAGAGTCCTGGGGCAGCTGGAACAGAAGCCACAGCTGGATTCTCCCATAGCTCAGGAGGCCAGAAGTCCAGGGTCCAGGTGTTGGCTGGTTCCTTCTGAGGGATGTGGGGGAGCATCCATTCCTTTCCTGCTCTGCGGCTCTGCCAGGCTCCACCAGCCTCCAGCATCCTTGGCTCATACATGCACCACTGACCTGCAGGCTTCACACGGCATTCTCCCCGAGCCTTTACATCATCTGCCCTCTGTGTGTGTCTGTGTCCAGATTTCCCCTTTTATCAGAACACAAGTCATCAGACTGGGGCCACCCTAATGACCTCATAATGACCTGTAAAGACCCTACATCCAAGTAAGACTACAACCACAGGTGCTGGGGTTAGGACTCCAACGTATTTTTGGGACAAATGCTTCAACGTCTAACGTTGTCAGTTCATTGTCAGCACAGGCCGAGTAGGGAAAGTAGGGAAGAACCGAGTGTGAGCTCCAGCTTGGGGCCCTGACCCAGCCTGGGGACAGAGCTCCTGCATAGGTGTCCTGCTGGACATGGCGGCCAGCATGCCTGGTCAGTGGGCCTGTCGGAGCCACAGCTGGCTCCTTTGGGGTGCGCCTTGAGGGACTCCAGATCCTGCAGTCAGCGGCTTCTAGACAGTCAACCCTAGGCCTGGCCCAATGTCAACAGGATCCCCAGGACCCAGGAGGCGCATTCTGGGGTCCTGGGCATGTTCTGGCTGGAAGCTCCTCGCAGAGCTTAGACCAGCCGAGACGCCCCTCCAGCAAGCCCCAAGGATAGGACAGGCCTTGTTGCTCCCTGTGCCCTGGCGGCTGGGCGAGCGAGAGAAGCACAGCACTGACCGAGTGAACTCGAGACTGCGTGTGCCGAGGTTTGGACGCTGCATGGAGAGCAGATTGGCAAATGGGGACATCCAGTCCATCACTAAGAGAGAACCACCCAACACATGGCCTTTTGAGTCTCTCCAGGGACCTGCTGGACACGAGGGGCCAGCTCTACTGTGTGGACAGAGAGGAGTATGGAGAGGAATCAGTGGAGTGAGGAGCTGGGAACCCAACAGACCCCTCCATTCAAGGCTAGGGCTCACCTATTGATGCCTGGCCTTTGTATCACATGAGAACAGCTCCTGCGACCTTACACATGTGCATACATGTGTACACACATACACATGTGTATTGTGTGCATGCATGTATAGAACGCAGGTCTGCATGTGTGCACATACAAGCATGCACACATACTGACACGTGCATACAGAGCATCCCTGCCTGGTCACTGCTCAGTTCTCACCTTTCCTGCCCCAGCCCCCAGGACCTTCCTCAACATCCAACATCACATTCTCTGGCATGCCCTAAGGTGTCTAGGCCTCTAATACTGGCCTTATAAGCTGTGTGTGGAGGGACAATGTCCCCACTCAGTACCCCCACCACAGAGGATATGTCCACTGAAGCTCTAGTTAAGAACCAGCATCTCCTCTAACAATCATGCCCTAATGGAATGAGCAGCTGTAAGCAGTAGTGAGGTTCCCTTCACTGGGAAAAGCACACTGTTGGAGCTGGAGCATTGGATCCAAGTTTTCACCAGTCCATCACCTTGGATGGCCATGGGGCTGCCTCATGTCAGGACTTCTCAGTCATGCCCACCCTCCCTCCATGAATGCTCCACACACTGATACAGGGGGCCACTGTCGCAGTGGCTGGTACCCCCAGTGCAAGGGACATCCACTCAGGGCCTGGAACAGATGGGCCCCAGCTTCAAGGCCTGGTTCTGAGCACTATCCCAAGAGTCCTGGCACCAGGCTCACCCCTGGGGCCTGGTACCTTCCCGCATGCGTCCGCACTAGAGAGCACAAACAGGGGCTCACCCCTCCAACCCCCAGGGACATGCATGCCAGGGGGCCGTGCTATTTGGGGACTTGATGCTTTTTCATCTAGTCTGACAGGCATCACTGAACCCCCACTGTGGACCTGAGCACACGCAGGTGCTGTGCAGGAGGGAGGGCTGGCACTACCTGGCCCGGGGGGATGGGGGTTCCCACACTGACAGAGGCAGATGGGAGGGGCGGCAGCCTGGCTCTTGGACGCTGACATCCTTAGGGGCCCAGAGAAGACTACTGTGGTTTCTGAAGGAAAGGTGGACCTCAGTTCCCTGCAAGTCCTACTCCGGAAGCGAGAGGGGGTGGTGAGATGTCTATTTCCCACTGCAGGGAGGGGTGTGAGGCTTCACTGCCAGGCACAGTGGCCGTAGAGAGCACAAAAGGACACAGAGCAGAGTAGATGGGGACAGCCGCACCCCCTCTCTGGGCCGCACAGGTAAGGACAGGCAGATGCTGAGGTTTTCCTCTGTTGGTACCATTTGGGTCCCCACGGCCCAAAGTCTGTCTGTGCCACCAAGGGAGGGCAGTTGTGACATGTTAGTAGGGACTGAAAACTTCCCTTCGGGTCATTTGTTAAGGCAGCCCCAGAAAAGGAATCCACAGCCCCTACCCGAAGGTGTTCTAAGGACCCTCGGATCCCTGGTGTGTTTCTAAGATGAGATCAGCAGATTCCCCACAGGAGTGCTCCAGCTTCCCTAAATAACAGAATGTCTCTCTGTGGATTAAGGAGGTCATCTTGGCCGGTGGCCACACAATGGGTGGCTGAGTGAGGAAGGACAGTGTGGGCAAAGGGTTGGCCCAGGTATCTGCAAGTGTTATCTATGTCTGGGAGGGAGAGAGAGAAGGAAGAGAGGGTATAAATAGAAACCTTTCGAGGCCCAGGAACAGGTGAATAAGCAGAAGGCAGTCACGTGTCCTCTGACAGCCACATGCGTGGCAGCATGGTGCCAGGCCATGGCCCACAGAAGAGACTCACGCCTTCTCCTGTCTGTGCACAACCTGCCCTTCTACACACTCTCACAGGGTACACACGCCTCCAATAAGGCTGGAAGTGTGGGCCCAGATCCCAATTCCACCACTCCCAGCTTTTCAGAGCCTGTTTTCTCATCTGCAAAACTGTGGAATGTAAGACACTGTGTGAGATGGCCTTCCTCCCACTGTCTCTGCACAGATTCTTCTACAGACTTCACCACCATAACCAGCACGCCGCCCCACCCCCACCCCCCGCCAAGCCTACAGCTGGCAAAGAGCACCATATGGCACCTGTGCCTCAAAAGGCTCTGCTGGGAAGGCAGACCTGCTGCACAGCCATAGAAACACCCTGTGGCTCTGAGGGGGCCAGCCAGGTGCTGTGTCCACCCGCCCAGACACTGTCCCATCTGACCCCTGAACTCATGAAATGTCCACATCAAAAGGGACCAGATACCCAGAACTGACTCACCCTGCTCTTTGTGGCACTTAAGGATTCCAAAGGACACTGATAGCCTGTTGCAAAGTGCACACGCATTTTCTGTAACCACTTGTTTGAACCCCTTGGAATTCCAGAATTCCAGGCTGTGTCCTTTCTCCTACCAAATGAGCCTTCTGGATGCCTGGGGCCAACTCCTAAAGCATTGTCTCCATTGGAAAAGGGACCCCACTAGTCACCACTATGGCTGGTAGGTCAGCTTTGGAGTTTAGGACTTGTGCTCATCAATCCTACCGTGCGGGTTTGAGCAGGAGGTGGGGCGGGTGTAACGGGCTGGAGCGAGGGTTCTCCCAGGCTGGGCTCCGCACACGCTCCCGTGTTCTGTGCACTGCATTCGGCTGGGCTTCCACCCAGCCCTGACCTCCGCCCTTTAGTCTGCGGCGAGTGGGTGCGTCAGGCCCCAGGGGTCGACGTGACTCGCGGCGAGCGCCAGAGAGGTCCCGTGGGCAGGACACGCCGGCCACGAGCTCCTGCCCCCACGCCGCGCACCTGTCTTGGGCGTGGCCCCGAAGCCCTGTCCCGTGGTCCCGCCCCTCCCCACCCCGGCCGCGCCGCGCGCTGGTTGGCCGAGGCGGCTTGCTATGCTAATGAGCCTGACCCTGCCCGCACCTGCCGCAGCGCTGCGGGCCCGCCTTCTGTGGACTCGCAAGTGGGACCCGCGCCCGCGAGGAACTATGCCGCGCTCCTTCCTGGTGAAGACGCACTCCAGCCACAGGATCCCCAACTACGGGGAGCTGGAGACACAGAGAGGTAGGGGCTGCCGGGCTCCCCGCCCCCGCCCAAGGCTCGGGTTCCCAGGAGGGGGCGGCTCCTGGGAGCCGCTGACATCTGTCCCAGGTAGGAGGAGAGGCGGTAGCTCCCCAGCAAGGCTGGGGCCGAGCCCCGGGGCTGGAGAAAGGAGGTCCGAGTCCGGCGGAGCGCGTGGGGATTCTCTCCGCACTTAGAGAAGTTTGTAGGCTCCCAATCACTCTGGGCTCTCCCCCTATGGCCTGGCGCACCCCTCCCAGCTAAGAGAAACCAAAGCCATCTTCCTGGGGCAGGAGCTTTGGGAGAGGTCCCAGGGGTGGTGGGAAGGGATCCAGAGGGCCACCAGGGGCTGCCACCCAAGGGCTCCCGAGGAACATCCTGGACTGGGTGGTGGCCACAGGGGCCAGGAAGATTGCTCATGGGCTCTATGCCCAGCTCGTCCAGCGTTCCAAGGGCTCCTCCAGGGCCTCCTCACCCCTCCTGAGGGTCTCCCTCTGGCCCCTCCTCACCCCAGTGGAGGTTGCCCAGGGCAGGGTGGGCTAAGGGGCTGCAATCCTCTTCCCAGGTTGGGGATGGGGGTTCGGCAGGGAGATGGGAGTCCAGGACCCAGCACTGTGCCCTCATTACCATTCCCTACTGGCCATGGGGACAGAGCGAGGTCCCAGGGCGAAGGCCTCTAGAGTGGTTAGAAGGTCCCCCCTCGCTCAGCAGCGTCTTGGGGCACAGACCCCCTGGGAGACTGCTAGGTGACTCAGAGAGGAAGAGGGGAAGGAGGGACACTGTGGAGGCCAGGGCTCCTCTCTCAGAACCCAGGGTGGGGAGGGAGTCTCTGACCAGTACCGAGGCAGGGCTGCCACTAGGGGGCGCCTTCCAGGACCAGGAGCCTCACTTCTGGGTCCTGAAATTAAGGTAGAGTCACCACCAGCGATTTTATCAAATAAAACAGAACAGAAACCATCAGAGTGCAGTGCTCCAGATTAAGGAGATTTTGTTTTGGATCTTTATGATGGAAAATTGAATTTACATGGGTCATCGTTTGAAAAGTTTAAAAACCACTATGTAAAGTCCAGTCATACAGTGCACCCACTTCACCAGTCGAATGTGCAAATCTGGGCAGCTCTGCAAGACCAATGATGGACTGGAGGCTCATTCGTTATTTTACATGTGGTGGCCTGCTGCCAAGTGCTCTGAGTTAGTGCTGCGTGGGAGCCTGGGGAGGCTCTGAGAGCTGGTCCTGAGGTGGGACAGGGACTCAGAGAGAGTCCACCCTGCCCGGCAGTGAGGGAGTCTTCCTTGGCCCCATGAAGGCTGTTTTGGGATTCTGTCAGGTATTACTTTATTTTTGTTCTTAAAGAGGAACTGAGATTCCTCCTCTAGACCCCATGGTTTCTGGGCCATCATCACTTCCCCAGCTGACACCTCCATCTTTCAGGCCTTTCTCTTCATGCCAAGCTGCTGATGGCCTAGACGATGGGCTTGAAATTGGACCCGAGATGGAAGTTTGAGAATACAGCACATTGGGACTGAGTCTTCACCTTTCCATTCTCTCTCCTTCTGCCCTTCTAGAAATCAATGGCTCCTGTTCTGCCTGTGGGGGGCTGGTGGTGCCCCTCTTCCTCCCAGACAGGGCGGCCCCTCCCATTCCTGGTGACCCTGCCCAGCCCTGGGACCACACCTCTGTCATCACCTGCATCTCCCTGCCCCTCCCAGTAGTTCGGGGGCCCTCTGAGCCAGACCCCTTGGAAGTCAACCTGATGAACCCTCGTACTGGCCAGGCTCCCAGCGTACCCCTCAAAGACAGCCTGAACCACCTCAACCTGCCCCCACTGCTGGTTCTGCCCACACGGTGGCCTCCTATTCTGGGCCCAGACGGGGACCAAGCTCCAGACAGACTGCTGGGGGCTGAGCAGCCCCCCTGCACCCCAGGTGGCTTCCAGTGCATCCACTGCCACAAGCCCTATCACACACTAGCTGGGTTGGCCCGGCACCGGCAGCTGCACTGCCACCTGCAGGCTCAGCGCTGCTTCACCTGCAAGTATTGCGACAAGGAGTACGCCAGCCTGGGCGCCCTCAAAATGCACATCCGCACGCACACGCTGCCCTGCATTTGCGCCATCTGTGGCAAGGCCTTCTCCAGGCCCTGGCTGCTCCAGGGCCACATCCGGACCCACACAGGTAGGACAGCACTGGGTCCACAGGAGGGACTTGGGTGAGGGCGGGAATGGGACCTGGGGTTAGAAAGAGGGGAGGGGTGATTCTATAAACAAGAAGATGGGCATTCGCACAGCTTCAGCTCTCCAGTGCATCTGTGTCTTTGGGCTGAGGCGCAAAGTCCCACAATCTGGAGGATGCCTTAAAGCATCAGAAATGCCCTCTCTCGCTGTCTGGAGGCCAGAAGCCCAAAGTCCAGGTGTTCCAGGCTAGCCTCCCCCCAGAGGCTCTCGGGAGGATCCTTCCTGCCTCTTCCAGCTCCTGGGGGCTCCAGGCATTCCTTGGCTTATGGCCACATCACTCCAACCTCCGCTTCTGACCTCACATGGCCTCTCCTCCCTGTGTCTGTGTCCAAATTTCCCTCTTGTTATAAGGACACCAGTCTTTTTGAATTAGGGCCCACGGACTGCAATATGACCTCATCTTAACCTGATGACATCTGTAAAGCCCCTATTTCCAAATAAGGTCGGATCTACAGGTACTGGGGCGTAGGGCGTGGAGACTCTTTTTTGGAAGACACAATTCAACCCGTTACACTCAGCAAAGCGTAGAATGCACAGGCCTCTGGCAAGGTCTGACTTCTCACATTCCACCACTTTCCAGAATCCTGCAACAGGAGGAGAGGGACGCGAGAAAGGCCGGGCCTGGGGGTCAGAACCATAGGTGTCACCGCCCCTCTGAAGGGCGGAGATGACAGCTGGGACTTCACTCAGAATTTGGGGACCTGGAGCAAACCTGGTCATGGGTGAGAGGGTGGCGCCCACAGGAAATGGAGGAGAGAAGAGCAGTTGTGGAGAAGAGACAGACAGAAACGGAGGATGGACAGGGACGTGGGCAGGGAGCTGAAGGAGGCCCAAGAGCCTTAGCCATCTCATGCTGTAGATTACCATATACGGCCTAGAAAGAGCGGAGGGCCTGCTCTGGACAGGGGCAGCCAGGAGCTGAAGTGGACCTCAGTCCGGGGCTTTGCCTGGAGCCTGGGGCTTTGTCAAGCACACCGTGCAGAGTGGGAGACAGGAACAGAGAGACCGAGCTCCCAGAACACGTCTCTGGTCCTGACCGCAGACCCGTAGCTACAACATACACTTTCTGTAACTGAAGCCTGACTAATCCTAGATCACGGCTCCATGAGTAGGATCTTTTTTTTTTAATCCTCACCCGAGGACATTTTTCCATCGATCCTCAGAGAGAGCGGGAGGGAAAGAGAGGGACAGAGAGAGAGAACTGTCGATGTGAGAGGGACACATTGACTGGCTGCCTCCCCCACGACCCAGCCAGGGCCGGGAACAAACGGCAACTGAGGTACGTGCCCTTGACCGGAACTGAACCTGCGGCTCTTTGGTCTGCGGGCAGACGCTCCAGCCGCTGAGCCAAAACGGCCAGCGCGTGACTAGAATCTTCTGAATCACACCTGGGTGGAGGCTGGAAAGGAGGGTTTTGCTGGAAAGGAGTGGTTTTCCGTGACCCTTTGCTGAGGATGTCACATCATCAGAGGCTCCGTGTTCTTGTTCTGGGGGCCAGAAGAGTGGGAGTCCCCGCAGGAGGCTGGCCTGGCTGGTAGAGTACCTGGTGTCGGGCGTGGGGACAGCAGGCTGGTGCTTCTCAGGACTCTGTGGGGCTGCAGGACTGGAAGCTGCTCTACGTGGGCAGAGAACAGATGACTCAATGACCCTCCCTTTTACACTTGTCAGGATCATCCTAGGAGCCAGGGTCCCCACAGAAGGGGTTGTCCAAATCCCTGGTGGCCCAGAGGGTGTTAGCCATCCCTAAATGCCTGCCCCCTGTGCGGGAGGGCTCGCTCCTTCACTCATCTGCGGGAGCCTGGCCAGTCTCCACCGCTGGCTTGCAGTGGGTGGGTACCGCTGCCAGAAGGTGCCCGTGCTCCTCACGTCCAGATCTGGGTGGCAGAGGGCCGCAGGAGAGCTCTGGCAGACACCGAGAAGGATCTCGCAGCTGCGGCAGATGTAGCAGAGCCGTGCTCTCAGGAAGGGTCAGGTGTATCATGCCACCCGGCCTCCAAGCCAGCCCCAACCTTGGGCGCTTGTGTCTCCTTGGCCTTAGTGTCTCCTCCTGGGTCAGGGGCTAAGGCCCCTTTTATTGGTGTCCTAGGGAGGGGGCGATGAAGATAAATGAATTGGAATTGAGTGAGCATTTGGAGGGGGAGGGATGAGTTCTTCATTTATAAACAGAGGCACTTGAACCCTGGGGCTGCCTTCCTAGGATGCCCCCCAAAAGTCACTCACCTGGCCCTCCCCCTTCGTCCCCCAGGTGAGAAGCCCTACGCCTGCCCTCACTGCAGCAGGGCCTTCGCTGACCGCTCAAACCTCCGCGCGCACCTGCAGACGCACTCCGACACCAAGAAGTACCAGTGCAAGAGCTGCGCCAAGACCTTCTCCCGCATGTCGCTCCTGGCACGGCACGAGGAGTCTGGCTGCTGCCCCGGTCCCTGAGAGGTGTGGGTCCGGTGCAGGGAGAGGGACAGGACCTCACCCTAGAGACACAGATGGCACCCCTCTTGGCAGTCTCGTGCTGCCTGCTGCGCCCAGGGGAGCCAGGCATCCTGGGAGGGCAGGAGCTCAGCCTCCCCTCAGGCGCGGTCCCCGCCCGCCACAGCCGGCATCTATTCCGAACCAGAGCAGCCCAGCGGGCCCTGAGGGGGCGCGGGGGCCCGTACAGATCTCCCACCCCACTTACAGGGGACTTCTCTCCCGGGGACGACGTTCAGCCAAACAAGAGCCACCGTTTCGTTTTCCACTTGCTCTGGTTTTGGCTTCTGTCTCTCCAAGAGTTAGAGACTGTTGGGGGACTGTCGTGAGCATGGACAACTCCTGTCACTAAGATGACGAATGGGACCGACGGCCTTTGGGTCTCTTCACGACTTCGCATGAACAGTCTGACGGGGGCCGAGTGCATTGCACCGTCCAGCCTGCGTGGGCAGAGGGACCTCGAGGCTCACCGCCCCTGCCTTTGGTTTGGAATGCGGGCCACGTCGCCCCACGTCACACGTGCACACCCTACCCCATCTCACCAGGCTGTCCTTGAGATGGAGCAGTGCCAGGAGGACCCACAGCTCGGCCCCATCCACAGTCGTGGGCAATAAAGTGTCCCCGCATCAGGCCTGTTATGTCCTCTGAGGTTCTGCATGTTCCCAGTCCCCTGTGTCTACGAAGGAGGCTGAGCCCCGAGAAATTTTTCAGAGGCAGCAGGATCCCCACGGAGGAGGTGGAGACTAGGGGTCGGGGTATCAAGCTGTGATGTTAAGAGAGGGGGAGCGAGGCTGCAGGAGGCAGGGTCCAGGGGAACAGGGTGCCTTCTGGAAGAAAGATGAGTGATGGGAATAGTGTCAAGCAGCATGGAAGAACAACTGGGGGGCACAGACTCGGACTGGGGTGAGTGAGGGCTTGTGAGAGAAGAGTGAGGAAACTGAGGCTGGAAGAAAGGGCCGGGGTGGGCTGTGGGTGCTGCATGGCTAGGTGTTCATGTCCCCAAGGTCTAAGTCAGGAGGAGACCCAGTGCTGCGTGGGACCTCTCCGCTGTCACCACAAGGATGTCTTCATCGCACCATCTCTCCGCGGGGCCGCACCCCCACGCCTGACCACAGTGCTGGTGCCTTTCTCTGCACACCCTCTCTTGAGACCACAGGCATCTGTGAACAGAGCAAGTGGCCAGACCTTTGACCCTGCCCAGGACACACATGCCTTCCCAAAGCGACTCAGATGCCAACACATAAGAACCCCCTCCCCCTGCCCCAGTGCCCCGTGCCCACTGTCCCAGCATGGTGGCGTCATTTCCTTCTCACAGGTCTCCTCTCACCCCCACGCCCCTGGGTGCTCACCTGTTAGGCTGGCCCTGCCTTTTGCCAGCGTGTCTTCATCTTCCCTAGCAGGACCCTGGAGGGGGGTGGCATCCAGCACTGAAGAAGGAGGCCTGAGTCTAACGGAGACGGACTGGGTCCTTGATGTTGGGAGGGGACCCCTGCTCCTCTTTGCAGGAAGGATGGCCTGCTGGCCGCAGCTCCACTTCCGGTCCCAGACAAGGGAGAGCTGGGCCCCGTGCTCCTGGCCCGGAGTGCACCCGCCCAGCAGGCTGTAGGGTCCTCCTGGCTCAGCCGCAAGCCAGCCGACCTGCGGAGCCTCCTCTGCATGCGGGAGCGTTCGGGAGTGTTGACCAGGACCACCCTGGGCGCAGTATCTTACTCTGCAGCTACCTCTGCTGCGGTCCCAGCCCCAGAGGCCCCACCGTAGACTCTACCTGGTGCTCCTCAGGGGATGAAGGGCCCTGGATGGCTGGTTTGATGTTGGCCATTGGAGGGGCCTAGGGTCATCCCAGAGGACACTTGGCCTCGGTTTTGGGCTTCTTTGGACCAAAGTGACCTTGATGAAGCAGACCACCCAGGGAGCCCCTACCTGGCCTACCAGACTGTATCAGCTGGTGGACTGAAGATGCTTCTGAGACCGGGGATGTGCCATTTAGCTAATGTATCAGTTTGCCATGGCTGCTGTTACAAAGTCCCTCACACCAGGCAGCTGAAACGGCAGAAATTTATTCTCCCACAGTCCTGGAGGCCAGCAGTCCGAGACCCAGGTGTCAGCAGGGCTGTTCCTTCTGGCGCTGAGGAGAATCTGTCCAGGTCTCTCTCAAAGTCCTATTGGTTTACTGGCAATTTTTGATGTTCCTTGGTTTGTAGAGAATCACCCCATCTCTGCCTCCAACTTCACATGGTGTTCTCCCTGCGTGTGCCTCTGTGTCCAAATTTCCCCTTTGAATAAGGAAACCAGACATACTGGGTTAGCACCCACCCTATCCTGATCTCATCTTGACTACATCTAAATGACCCTGTTTCCAAATAAGGCCACAATCTGAGGTCCTGGGGGTTAAGACCTCAACATATACATTGAGGGGGATACCGTTCACCCCCCGGCGGCTGCTGAGAACACATGGTTTTGCCAAGAGACGCCAGGTGGGTCCTGTGTTTGCACTGAAGGTGAGGAGAGCAGAATCTTGTTCTCCCCCATCCACAAAGAACCAAGGGGCAGTGGGTACTTGCTGACAGTTACTAGAAACACCTCCTCTGAAGGTCTGAGTCTCCCTGCTCAGGACCTGGCCCTCTCTAGTGTCTGTGCCTGTCCCTCTCCTCCTCTCCTGGGGCTGAGAATAGGCCCCAACAGGATGGTCCTGCCCCAAACTGTCTCTCGAGGCACCTGGCCCCTCTGCTGAGCAGGGTCAGGCTGCCGGGGGATGGGCACCTCTCCCCAAGCCTGGCAACGGTGAAGCCCCAGCCAATGTTTGTGCCCAGCCTGGCCAACTTGCAGGAGGCTGTGTGTTTTTTTTAATAGCATCCAGATGCCTGAAGGAAGCTATATTGTAAATTGTGTTCTATTTCTGGGGCCCAATATCTAAATGAGGCAACGCACCTGTTGGGTATGAAGGAAGGGAATTTCACAGGCCTGAAATAAAGTCGAACGTTTGCCCTTCTGTGCCGGCCCATGGAAAATGCTCTTATATTTATATCTGGGCTGGCGCAGGACAGGGGTAGTGGAGTGTTGGTTGGCAGAGGGGTGAGGAAAAGCCCGGGCACCTGCCAGGAAACTGACATGGAATGAATGGGGGGACGTCCCACTCAAAGCTAGTCAGCTACAGTCAGCCCACGAGGCCACCACGTCCCATGGGCCACGCCGCCTACTGCACTTGGGGCTCACAGCTTCCTGCCCCGCTCTGCCCTCCCTTGTTATCCAACCTGATTTTTAAAAATTAATCCACATGCCCATTTAATGTTCGGGTTTCTGGAGCCCTCTCTCCGCACCTACAGAATAAGAATCAGAAGGGGGTCTAAGGCTCGTTCGCATTTGTTCCCAGGTGATGTTGGCACTGCCAACTCTTTCCTTGGGGGACTGCTATTTGACCCCCCCTTCCTGCTCAAATCTTGACTCATCACACTCCCAGTCTTCTCCCTAAAGCGAGCTTTTTGGTCGCACCGCTCCAGGCATGCCGTTGAACCTCTCTCCAAGGTGGGAGCCCGGGACCCACAGAATCGGAAGCAGGTGTTTTGACAGCAGCCTGGTTAAGTCTGAGCACAAGTAGGAGCCTACGAAATCAAGAGGATTCTAGCCCGGCCAGTGTGGCTCAGTGGTTGAGTGTTGACCTATGCGCCAAGAGGTCGCCGGTTCGATTCCTGGACAGGGCAAGTGCCAAGGTTATGGGCCCGATCCCCAGTGGGGGGCGTGTAGGAGGTGGCCAATTGATGTTCTCTCTCACTGATGTTTCTCTCTCTCTCTCTCTCAAATCAACAAACAAAAAGAAGAACAAAAGAGGATGCTAGACAAGGGGAAAACATGTTGTGGCCTCTCCAAGTTTGGGGATAGCACCACAAGCGCTCCCAGGATGGCATGTAACAGGTGGGCAGGGTGGGACCACCTTGCACAGGAAAGAAAATGACCGGGAATGGCAGGCCTCCACTCTTCTGACTCACAGACACGAGTGCCTGGCCTCTGTGAGTTCAAGCCCCAGACACAGCTGTGAGAGGGACCCCCCGTCTCTCAGAAGCTGGGCTCCTCACCCCACTCCCTGTTGAAAGAAACCTTTCTTGAAACTACAGATGCGCTAAGGTTATGTTTTCCCTCCCAGACCCCGAAGGGCTCTTATAAACATCATTTTGGCCCTGAATACTTTGGGGGTTCTCTGAAAGTTTGAAAATAGCCCACTTGTTACTATCTATATTCAGAGAACCCACTCTTGGCCTCCACTTGGTAGCTAAGTATAGCTGCTCCCTGGCAAAGTTCAATGGAACAAAAGTTTCCAGGCCCTCATCACCTTGTGGATGGCAGGACATTCCAGGGAGAGGACCTCAGCTGCCGAGACCTAAGGAGCTCAGAGAGGGGCTAGAACCGATGTGGGGCGTGGGCAGCACCTGCCCTCTCCCACCCGAGCTGAGGAGTCTGCGGGGCTCTCGGCAAACAGGGTGTCCTTGCCAGGTCCAGAAGGGAGGCGCTCGGGTCCCAGTGCTGTGGATCTACTGGGGTTGGGCCAATTCCATTACGAAGGCTTGGTTCTGTGTCTGTAAAAAAGGAATCTCGCTGACCTCTATTTCAGAATTCAGGAAAGTGCCAAGTATACATAAAAGTTAAAAATAGCCCTGGCTGGAGTTTCTCAGTGGTTAGCGCGCCGGCCTGTATACTGAAGGGTCTTGGGTTTGATTCCGGTCAAGGGAGCGTACCTGGGTTGCAGGTTCCATTCCCAGCCCCAGTCAGGGTGTGGGCTGGAGGCAACCAACTGACGTGTTTCTCTCTCATCCATGTTTCTCTCTCACTCTCCCCCTCCCTTCCACTCTCTCTAAAAATCAATGGGGGGAAAAAGTAAAAACAGACACTTAGGACACTAAAAATAAAATATAATTGCTAACTTTAGGCAAATCCTCAATATTAACCCCTCTTAGAATCATCTGTTCTTTTTTTTTCTTTTTTATCCTCACCCGAGGACATTTTTCCATTCTTTATTCAGACAGAGCAGGAGGGGGAGAGAGAGAAACATCGATGTGAAAGGGACACATCGAGTGGCTGCCACCCGCAGGACCCAACCAGGGCCAGGGACAAACTGCAACCTAAGTACATGCCCTTAGTGGGATCCAAACCGAGGCCTCTCTGGACCGCAGGCTGATGCTCTAACTGCTGAGCCAAACCAGCCAGGGCGGAATCTGTTCATTTCTTGATCACCAAGTTCTGGCTGAAGTGCTCTCTCCTCCCAGCTGCCCGGGCCCAGCCATGAGCTGCCTGAAAGCGGATAGAGCTGAAGTATACGGGCGGTGCGAAGGGTGAGGGGCGAGGGGCAGAAATTCAAACCAGGGTGTGCCGGTACCACCCTTGGGTACTGGGCAGAGAAGGTGGAGGTCGCCTTCCCAGCACACAAATCAGTGCTGCCCTCCACCCCGGAGTTCACAGCCAGCTCTCTCCCAGGTTGACCCTGGAGCGCTGGAGCACTGGTCCCCTCCCCTCCCCACACCTGTCCCTCAGGCCACCTCTCATTTCCTC